TGATTTTTTTTTTTGAAGCTTTATTGAAATCCAATTGAGGTAAAACAAACTGCATGCAAAAGCATAAAGTTTGGTAAGTTTTTACATATATATATACCTGTGAAATCACCATTAACCACAAGATGATTAATATATCCAAATTACTTAGAAAGGAAATGAGTAACATCTTAACAGTGTTTTAAATATAAGAATGCTGATTTTTATGTTTGCTTATAGTTGAATTTCAACATCAGCAGTGTTGCTTTAGTGTATCATTGGTAAATTGCTTAGTTTGATTGCAGTCTCCTATCAGACTTTCTTATGTCTGGTTTAGAGCAAAGCTACCACATTAATGTTTTGGCTTAAGGAAGAATAACAGAATCATAGTGGATGTTCTTTTTTTCTTTTAATAAGTTGGTGTAAAATGATGCTTGCTCTTGGTCTCCATTTCCTCCTTTTCTATTTGTTATACTCCTTCTGCATAAAAATGGGTTCTTTTGCCTGTTGTGGGATTAGAGTTATTTGGTTAAATGAAATAATGAGAATAAAAAAATACTACAGAATACTTGATGCTTAACTCAGAAATTTGCATATAACGGGTTTAAACTACTTACATTTTCTGTTGTAAGCTTTTTACAGTACACTACAGATACACTTTGCTAATTTCCAAGTTTTGTGATTGAAATTCCATGAAATTTTAGTATCCAATTATCAGTGAGTGAAATTCCTAAAAGCAAATGTTATGGTTTTTTTTCTTTCTTAAAAAAATATTTTTATTGATTTCAGAGAGGAAAGGAGAGGGAGAGAGAGATACAAACATCAGTGATAAAAGAGAATCATTGGTAGGCTGCCTCCTGCATGCCCCACACGGGGGATTGAGCCCACAAACTGGGCACGTACCCTAACCGGAATCTCATCGTGACCTCCTGGTTCATAGGTTGATGCTCAACCAGTTAGCCATGCCAGCCAGGCTATGAGTTTTTTTCTTTAGTTCTTCTTATTCTGTCTTGGTATAAGAAAACATGTAATGTATTTTGAAAAACATTATTTAAAATGTTTTCTCATTTTAAAAAGAACAGAGGTAAGTATTTCATTAAAAAAAGACATTTTTAAATGTTATTGTTAATTATTGCTATTATTTCTAAAAGGTATACAAGTCCTTATTCCATTTATCCACCTTTCTTTTTAAAATACTTTAATCTATGGGACATTGTTTAAAACAACCTATAGATCTTTGCTGGGTCGCTTAAATTAATTGTTTTTAACTTGTAAATAGTTCCAAGTGGTTTATTTGTTTTGTTGATTTTCATGTCTCTCAGCCTGACATTCTTAGGCTTAATTGTATTCTAGCTTGGTGTATATAGGCCCGGAATAGGAAACCACAAATTTCAGCACAGGCTGTTTGAGGAAATTGTACATTTACCTGTGTTCACATGCAAATTTATTTCTACATTTGTGGAAGTTGGACTTTTTTCATTATTTTAGGTAGTTTATTCCCTTTTCCATTGTAGTACTACCAATAATTAAAATTTTGTAATATATAAAATTATAAACTCATGTTTGGGAGATTGTTTTAAAAACAAAAATCAGGGGACTACTAGCTTTAGCTGATGGTAAATTGGTGAGGTGAATGAACCCTCTCTCAGGTAAAAATGATAAAACCTTAAAAAAAATTCAAAATAACTATTTGAAAGAACTGGAAAAAGATTCCAAAGACTAGAAGACCAAAAAGACCAAAAAGAAGCAGAAACTTGAGGAGAATCATTCTTTGAGTAGCAGGTAAGAATTATAAATGTGTGCCTTTTTGCACAAAGTACTTCCCATCTAGCTATCTACACTAATAAAATACAAAGATGTAATTGACTGCACCTTCGTTATGCCCTAAGCCATGCCCACCAGCCAATCAGAGAGACTGTATGCAAATTAACCCAACCAAGATGGCGGCTGGCAACCATGGAGCTGGAGCAAGCAGGAGGCTTGGTTGCCTGGGCAATGGAGGAAGCCAAGCTTCCCGCCCTCCCTGAGCCAGCTGTGGCCTCCACTCATGACAACAAAGTTTCAATTATAGAAGACAAATAAATCCCAAATACCTGCTTCCAGCCAGCCTCCACTGGGAGATTGGCTGGCGGAGGGCCATGGCCAGCTTGCAGCCAGCCATCAGCCCCTCACCCAGGATGGCCACACCCTCATGGAGTGAGGGTCCACGCTGGGGGTCTTAGCCAGCCTGAAAACAGCCCTCAGGCCCTCTCCCAGGATAGCCAAGCACCCCAGCAGGACCCCCCACCCTGAAGGGGCTCTGGCCAGCCTGAAAACAGCCATCAGCCCCTCACCCAGGCTGGCCAAGCACCCCAGGGGCGACCCCCACACTGAAGGTGCTATGGCCAGCCTGCAAACAACCATCAGTCCCTCACCCAGGCTGGTCAGGCACTCCTATATAATAAAAGGGTAATATGCAAGTTGACCCCAACAGCAGAACGACTGGGAATGACTGGTCAGTATAACACACACTGACCCCCAGGGGGCAGACACTCAATGTAGGAGCATCTGGTGGTCAGTATGCTCCCACAAGGGGAGCTCTGCTCAGCCACAAGCCAGGCTGCAGGCTGTCAGTACAGTGGTGGTGGTGGGAGCCTCTCCCACCTCCTCAGCAACGCTAAGGATGTCCGACTAGCTTAGGCCTGCTACCTGGTGGCAAGTGGACATCCCCCAAGGATTCCCAGCCTGCCAGAGGGATGTCTGATTTCCAGCTTAGGCGCAATCCCCCGGGGAGCAGGCCTAAGCCACCAGGTGGCCATCCCCTGAGGGGTACCAGACTTCGAGAGGGCACGGGCAGGGCTGAGAGACCCCCCATGAGTGCACAAATTTTTGTGCACTGGGCCTCTAGTCCTATATAATAGTAGACAAACATGGTAATTAACCGTACCTCCGACACGCTTCCCATTGGCTAATCAGCAGGATATGCAAATTACTGCCAACCAAGATGGCGGCCGGCAGCCAGCAGTTGAAGCGAACAGGAGGCTTGCTTGCTCCAGTGATGGAGGAAGCCAAGGTTCCCTGCCTGCTGCTGCCGGCCTCTGAGCTTCAGTCTAAGAAACAATGTTGCAATTATAGAAGCTAAACAAGCCCCAGAAACCTGCTTTCAGCCAGCCGGGCCTCAGAGCTGGAGATAGAACAGTGTTTCAATTATAGAAGGTAAATAAATCCCAGATACCTGCTTTCAGCAG